GTGGAGAAGGCTTGGAAAGAAGAAACATCAACCAAGGGGGGCATTTTTTTTTACTCCTTGGCTGCTGGAAGAGTTAGATATGTGGATAGGGCTTGGAAAGTAGAAACATTAACCAAGGTGGGCATTTTTTTTTACTCCTTGGCTGCTGGTTTTCAGCAGAGGAGGAAGCATTAGATATGTGGAGAAGGCTTGGAAAGAAGAATCATCAACCAAGGTGGGCATTTTTTTTTCTCCTTGGCTGCTGGTTTTCAGCGTAGGAGGGAGCGTTAGATATGTGGATACGGTTTGGAAAGAAGAATCATCAACCAAGGTGGGCATTTATCATAGCCTAGTTCACGATTGTCGAAAGGGAATAGGGTATACTAGGGGTGTAGAAAAACAGAGGTTAAGTAGGAACATCATTGGAGGAACCAAAGCTTCAGGTGCACTGACCCCATGACAAAAGGCTCCAGCTCTCCACTGAAACCATGGGCTGAAGGGGGGGGGGCAGAGAAAAACAACACAGTCTTCTCCATCATCTCTTTCCATACAGGCATTCCTGCAGCCATTGAGAAATACTGTGAGAGCTGTGATTGGTCACAGCTTGTCAAACAGTACAAGGCTGTTGTGAATGGCTCTGTACCATGTGATCTCTGTGATCATTCACAAATTTCACACGTAGTAAGCAAGGATGTCAGAAGTGACATCTTGCTTACACCTATTCATGTGATCACTGATTGGCCAATCAGTGATCACATGATCGGGACCTCGCAGAGAGGTCCTGCACAGTGATCGGTGTTCGGATTGCAGTGCCGCGTGCTCCCAGGGAGCACGCACAGTCCAAAATGGTGGGCGCCATTTATGAACAGCAGCCCGCCCCTGCACTGCCACCGTCCGGACAGGAGCGGACTGACCATTTGGAAACTCGGCCACTGCCCGAGGGCCCGGAGTCAGTAGGGGGCCCCATGAGATGCCCCTGGTACCTTTTTCATAGGCTTTTTTGAGTTTGGGCAAGGACACAGGACCCCATGATCCCCTATTGCCCGGGGGCCCCATGAGTTGTCAGTCCGCCCCTGCGTCCGGCCGTTTAGGGGGAAGTGGTTAAATAAATTCCTTTTTATCGTGGGAATGCACAAGGAGAGCCCGCCCCTTTTTTGCTTTCTTCCAGTAATATCAAGATTCCCCGATCTTTAGAGGGCCGCACCTCAGCCAGTGGCTGTTACTGTGGTCCTGGGATGCTTACAGACTTGTGCGCTTGTTTTTTCTCCTGACTTTACCCTGGTCCCCTACGCCTGCATTCCTTGCCATCATTCTGTAATATAGAAAAAAAGAAATGGCAGAGTTCAGGCCATTGGCATCTCATCTCACATTGCCCCCGAGCTTCAAACATCCTCCCACATCTGCGTTTACGGCTCTCAGGGGCCACTGTGATATGATCTGCAGGAGCTGCGTTATGATTTTTTATTTATTTTTTTTTTGTTAACTGGAGGCCGCCATCACTCAGCACGTAAGTTATATTAGATCTTTACCAGTAACATATGCTTGGCTCCTAGGTAGTAAATTATATATTTTTTTCCCAGACTTTAAGATGCAGGAAGGAGCCAAGCTCCCAAATAATCCCCCATCTGCAATAGTTATAAAGATCTATGTCTACTACCTGACAGATTCAGCGGGATTCATTTGTTTGATTTTACCCCAAAGCAAATTCCGACTGTGGATTTTGCATGAAGTCAGCTAGAAGCCACGGACGCCTGGCAGCAAAAATCGCAACACAGAAAATATTGGACATTAACAAAGGCCTTCAACTTCTGCTATCAACACATTAGGAGGCAGAGGGAGTGGAGGGGGACTCATGAGTAGTTCGCTCGCAGGATCCGTCTGCAATATGGCGCAATTCAATCATTGTATTTAAAAAAAGGAAAAAAAAAAAACATGAGGCAATGCGAATGAAATCTGTGATTGTGGGAACAGGAATGAAAGTATCTGCTACCAGTTATATATTATAGCACGACATCCAACTGCTATGGGGCCCTCAGGAGGCCCAGCAATGTCTGGCTATGTAGTTGTGTCAGAACCAGGATCTGAACCCACAGCTTCTGGCTATGTAGTTGTGTCAGAACCAGGATCTGAACCCACAGCTTCTGCTGAGTCCAACAGTGACTCTTCTTGCTGAGCCACCTGAGATGCTGGGCAGCAGCTTGCCTGAACCTTTGGATAATACTTCCGTGTCTCTTGTTTCCAGTGAACCTTGAACTCTTTGCTCCTCCCATGAACTTCCTATTTAAACTATGTCTCTGCAAGAATATTGTGCTCTCTCTCAGCCGATATCTTGCTCCTTTCACTTTTTGCTACAGTCCATATCTTCACTACCACTTGGTAATAAAGATTTTATTCATATTTTTTCTAGAATGAAAATGGGTTGGTTGCGTAAAACCCTTCTGTCAGGACCCGGGTCTGAACCTGCAACCTCTGCTGTGCCAGGCAGTATCAGTTCTTGCTGAGCCACCTGAGATGCTGGCCAGCTCTCCTGGCTAATTGTTTGGACTTTCTTGCTTCTGGTGAACCTTGAACTCCTTGGTCCTCCTATGAACTTCCTATTCAAGCCATGTCTCTGCACTTCTAGCACTCCTGCTGCCGTCTCTATATCTGCTACCACTCATTACCAACCTTTGTCTTGTTCCTTGACTATGCTTCTGCTTGATCCCAACCAGCAACAATTTGTTACCGACCTTTGGCTTGATCCTCAGCTACACTTCCACCTGATCCCAACCTGCAACCATTTGTTCCTAAACCTCGGCCTTGTTACTAACGATGCTTCCACTGGGTCCCAACCTACACTATTTGTTACCATTAGAGATGAGCGAAGTATTCAAAAATTCGATTCGACTGATTCGGCGAATTCGTGGACAATATTCGATTCGAGTCGAATATAATTCGCTGTGAATTTAACTTAAAAAAGGGTGTTTCTAGGCTTCAGAGAGACTTAATATTAGTGCAGAACACTGTACCTTTTTAATTTAAATGCCCTTGGGAGTCTGCTGGGGAAGAGAAATAATACTGTCAGTCAGTATGACATGCAGATGAGTGCCGTCGATCTTAGAATCACCGCACACTTCACTCATTTGGCCAGTCACGGGGCCAAAACCAGTGTTTGGAGCCACAGTGTGGCGGTGGAGGCAGCAGCAATGGGAGGCCATACAGCAACCTATGACAAAATGGAAACCAGCAGGAGTGTGAGGAGACCATCAAAGTGGCACATGGCAGAGTGGGAGCAATGGGAGGCGGTCAGGGACCCATGTCACACTGTGGACCCATCAGCAGCGTGACGAGGCGGTACGGGGGCCCATGGCAGATTTGGGGGCTGGCAGCACCTATGGGAGGCCTGTAATCTGCCAGCAACCTATGACAAAATGGAAAACAGCAGGAGTGTGAGGAGACCTCAAAGTGGCACATGGCAGAGTGGGAGCAATGGGAGGCCGTACAGGGACCCATGACAGACTCTGGACTTGGCAGCAGCATGAGGAGGCGGTATAGGGGCCCATGGCAGATTAGGGCCTGGCAGCAGCTATGGGAGGCCCGTAATCTGCCAGCACCCTATGACAAAAAATGGAACACACCAGCAGTGTGAGGAGACCTGAAAGTGGCACATGTTTGGGGCATGATTCATGGCGGATTTAGTCAGTTGTGTCAGGAACTGGTGGTTTGAAATCCAGACTAATCCACGCCTGATTCATTTTCACAAACGTGAGTCTCTCCACACTTTGGTGGACAGTCGAATACCTCCTGCCGCACTAAACACGCGCTCCGATGCCACGCTACTGGACGGGCATGACAGCCTTTCAAGGGAAATTCAGCTAGTTGGGGCAAAGGTCAAGTTTCGTTGCCCAGTAGTCAAGGGGGTATTGTCTACCTCGGTTGGCAGGGTGCTGTCCAAGTAGGCCCCATGCCTGTTGTTTGAGGTCCTGCTCCAGGTCCACCTGATGCTGCTGCTGCTGCTGCTGCTGCTACTGCGGCTGGTTTAGTAGTTTCCTCACTGCGCTGGTGAAGAAAGCTACTCATCATCGACTGCAGACTGAGGCAGCCGCTGCTGGTGGAGCTGCCACTGCTCCTACCACCCCACCCCCCTCCCCTGCTGCCATGGCAGCGGAACGCGAGCGCACAGGGCCCACAGTGTCTGAGGATGGACGTTGGCGCACAAAAGGCATGAGACCAGCTGACTACATAGGTGGTTTTTATAGTACGTTATTTTGGCCCTCCTCCCAGCAGGTGTGAAAAAGGCCACCATTTTGGAACGGTTAGCGAGGGTCCAACAAGGTGGACAGCCAAAAGTCATCCCTCTGTCTGATGGTTATTATTCGGCTGTCGTACGCAAGCAAGCGAGCATGCTATGGGCCATTTGTGCCAAGGAAATGCGAGGGACTCCCTGCCTCCATCTCCACAGCATACTGCCACGGTGCGTCTGGGTCCTCTGTCTCCTCTTCCTCCTCCTCTACCACATGCTCCTGCTCCTCCACTCCTGTCCGCTGAGTGGAAAAAAAACCCATTTCACTCAATAATTCCTGAGCACCAATGTCCTCCTCTACCTCCTCCTCTTCTTCCTGTCCTGCCCCCACAGGGGTCATGTGGCGTTGAGATCTGTGCGCCAACGTCTACCGCACCCTGACCAGCCATTGTTAACAGCATTTGTTCCAGGACGTGCAACAGAGGAATGACGTCGTTCATCCCATAGTCCTGCCGACTCACGAATAGCGTGGCCTCCTCAAAGGGCCTGAGCAAGCGCAGGTGTCACGCATGAGCTGCCAATGGCTGACATCTAAGTTACACAGGGAGTACCTTTATCCGCTTTTAACATCAGGAAATCTGTGATGGCCTTTCGCTGTTCGTAAAGGCGGTCCTAACATATGTAGGGTTGAATTCCACCTTGTTGCAACGTCACAGCATGAGGAGTCGGTACGGGGGCCCATGGCAGATTACGGGCCTGGCAGCAGCAATGGGAGGCCCGTAATCTCCCAGCACCCTATGTCAAAAAATTCAACACACCAGCAGTGTGTGAGGAGACCTGAAAGTGGCACATGGCAGAGTGTGGCGATGGAGACAGCAGCAATGGGAGGCCGTACAGGGACCGATGAGAGACTCTGGACCTGGCAGCAGCATGAGGAGGCGGTACGGGGGCCCATGGCAGATTACGGGCCTGGCAGCAGCAAATGGGAGGCCCGTAATCTGCCAGCACCCTATGTCAAAAAATTCAACACACCAGCAGTGTGAGGAGACCTGAAAGTGGCACATGGCATGAGACACTGTGGACCTGGCAGCAGCATGAGGAGGCGGTACAGGGGCCCATGGCAGATTAGGGGCCTGGCAGCAGCTATGGGAGGCCCGTAATCTGCCAGCACCCTATGTCAAAAAATTCAACACACCAGCAGTGTGAAGAGACCTGAATGTGGCACCATGGCAGAGTGTGGCGATGGAGACAGCAGCAATGGGAGGCCGTACAGGGACCCTTGAGAGACTCTGGACCTGGCAGCAGCATGAGGAGGCGGTATATAGGGGCCTATGGCAGATTAGGGGCCTGGCAGCAGCTATAGGAGGCCCGTAATCTGCCAGCACCCTATGTCAAAAAATTCAAACACACCAGCAGTGTGTGAGGAGACCTGAAAGTGGCACATGGCAGAGTGTGGCGATGGAGACAACAGCAATGGGAGGCCGTACAGGGACCCATGAGAGACTCTGGACCTGGCAGCAGCATGAAGGAGGCGGTATAGGGGCCCATGGCAGATTAGGGGCCTGGCAGCAAGCTATAGGAAGCCCGTAATCTGCCAGCACCCTATGTCAAAAAAATTCAACACACCAGCAGTGTGTGAGGAGACCTGAAAGTGGCACATGGCAGAGTGTGGCATGGAGACAGCAGCAATGGGAGGCCGGTACAGGGACCCATAGAGGGGAGACTCCTGGACCTGGCAGCAGCATGAGGAGGCGGTATATAGGGGCCCATGGCAAATAGTAGGGCCCTGGCAGCAGCTATAGGAGGCCCGTAATCTGCCAGCACCCTATGTCAAAAAATTCAACACACCAGCAGTGTGTGAGGAGACCTGAAAGTGGCACATGGCAGAGTGTGGCGATGGAGACAGCAGCAATGGGAGGCCGTACAGGGACCCATGAGAGACTCTGGACCTGGCAGCAGCATGAGGAGGCGGTATATAGGGGCCTATGCAGATTAGGGGCCTGGCAGCAGCTATAGGAGGCCCGTAATCTGCCAGCACCCTATGTCAAAAAATTCAACACACCAGCAGTGTGTGAGGAGACCTGAAAGTGGCACATGGCAGAGTGTGGCGATGGAGACAGCAGCAATGGGAGGCCGTACAGGGACCCATGAGAGACTCTGGACCTGGCAGCAGCATGAGGAGGCGGTATATAGGGGCCCATGGCAGATTAGGGCCTGGCAGCAGCTATGGGAGGCCCGTAATCTGCCAGCACCCTATGTCAAAAAATTCAACACACCAGCAGTGTGTGAGGAGACCTGAAAGTGGCACATGGCAGAGTGTGGCGATGGAGACAGAAGCAATGGGAGGCCGTACAGGGACCCATGAGAGACTCTGGACCTGGCAAGCAGCATGAGGAGGCGGTATAGGGGGCCATGGCAGATTAGGGGCCTGGCAGCAGCTATAGGAGGCCCGTAATCTGCCAGCACCCTATGTCAAAAAATTCAACACACCAGCAGTGTGTGAGGAGACCTGAAAGTGGCACATGGCAGAGTGTGGCGATGGAGACAGCAGCAATGGGAGGCCGTACAGGGACCCATGAGAGACTCTGGACCTGGCAGCAGCATGAGGAGGCGGTATATAGGGGCCCATGGCAGATTAGGGGCCTGGCAGCAGCTATAGGAGGCCCGTAATCTGCCAGCACCCTATGTCAAAAAATTCAACACACCAGCAGTGTGTGAGGAGACCTGAAAGTGGCACATGGCAGAGTGTGGCGATGGAGACAGCAGCAATGGGAGGCCGTACAGGGACCCATGAGAGACTCTGGACCTGGCAGCAGCATGAGGAGGCGGTATATAGGGGCCTATGGGCAGATTAGGGGCCTGGCAGCAGCTATAGGAGGCCCGTAATCTGCCAGCACCCTATGTCAAAAAATTCAACACACCAGCAGTGTGAGGAGACCTGAAAGTGGCACATGGCATGAGACACTGTGGACCTGGCAGCAGCATGAGGAGGCGGTACAGGGCCCATGGCAGAAATTAGGGGTCTGGCAGCAGCTATGGGAGGCCCGTAATCTGCCAGCACCCTATGTCAAAAAATTCAACACACCAGCAGTGTGAAGAGACCTGAATGTGGCACATGGCAGAGTGTGGCGATGGAGACAGCAGCAATGGGAGGCCGTACAGGGACCCATGAGAGACTCTGGACCTGGCAGCAGCATGAGGAGGCGGTATATAGGGGGCCTATGCAGATTAGGGGCCTGGCAGCAGCTAAGGAGGCCACGTAATTTTGCCAGCACCCTATATCAAAAAATTCAACACACCAGCAGTGTGTGAGGAGACCTGAAAGTGGCACATGCAGAGTGTGTGGCGATGGAGACAGCAGCAATGGGAGGCCGTACAGGGACCCATGAGAGACTCTGGACCTGGCAGCAGCATGAGGAGGCGGGTATATAGGGGCCTATGGCAGATTAGGGGCCTGGCAGCAGCTATAGGAGGCCCGTAATCTGCCAGCCACCCTATGTCAAAAAATTCAACACACCAGCAGTTGTGTGAGGAGACCTGAAAGTGGCACATGGCGGGAGTGTGGCGATGGAGACAGCAGCAATGGGAGGCCGTACAGGGACCCATGAGAGGACTCTGGACTGGCAGCAGCATGAGGGAGGCGGTATATAGGGGCCTATGGCAGATTAGGGGCCTGGCAGCAGCTATAGGAGCCCGTAATCTGCCAGCACCCTATGTCAAAAAATTCAACACACCAGCAGTGTGTGAGGAGACCTGAAAGTGGCACATGCAGAGTTGACTCGCGGACCTGGAGACAGCAGTCAATGGGAGGCCGTACAGGGAACCCATGAAGACTTAGGACCCTGGCAGCAGCATGAGGAGGGCTGGTATAGGTGGCCCATGGCAGAATTAGGGGCCTGCTGCAGCAGGCTATAGGAGGCCCGTAATCTGCCAGCACCCTATGTCAAAAAATTCAACACACCAGCAGTGTGAGGAGACCTGAAAGTGGCACATGGCATGAGACACTGTGGACCTAGGCAGCAGCATGAGGAGGCGGTATACAGGAGGCCCATGGTGGGAAAGATTAGGGCCTGGCAGCAGCTATGGGAGCCCGTAATCTGCCAGCACCCTATGTCAAAAAATTCTACACACCAGCAGTGTGAAGAGGCCTGAAATTGGCACATGGCAGAGTGTGGCGATGGAGACAGCAGCAATGGGAGGCCGTACAGGGAATCCATGAGAGACTCTGGGACCTGGCAGCAGCATGAGGAGGCGGTATATAGGGGCCCATGGCAGATTAGGGGCCTGGCAGCAGCTATGGGAGGCCCGTAATCTGCAGCACCTATGTCAAAAAATTGAACACACAAGTGTCAGCAGTGTGCACAATGAGACCTTAGAAAGTGGCACATGGCATAAGAGACTGTGGACCTGGCAGCAGCATGAGGAGGCAGTATAGGGGCCCATGGCAGATTAGGGGCCTGGCAGCAGCTATTGGGAGGCCCGTAATCTGCCAGCACCCTATGACAAAAAATGGAACACACCAGCAGTGTGTGAGGTAGACCTGAAAGTGGCACATGTTTGAGGCATGATTCATGGCGGATTTAGTCAGTTGTGTCAGGAACTGGTGGTTTGAAATCCAGACTAATCCACGCCTGATTCATTTTCACAAACGTTGAGTCTCTCCACACTTTGGTGTGGACAGTCGTGTCCTCCGCGGAGTTACAATACCTCCTGCCGCACTAAACACGCGCTCCGATGCCACGCTACTGGCCGGGCATGACAGCCTTTCAAGGGGCAAATTCAGCTAGTTGGGGTCAAAGGGTCAAGTTTCGTTGCCCAGTAGTCAAGGGGATTGTCTACCTCGGTTGGCAGGGTGCTGTCCAAGTAGGCCCAAGCCTGTTGTTTGAGGTTCCTGCTCCAGGTCCACCTGATGCTGCTGCTGCGGCTGGTTAGTAGTTTCCTCACTGCGCTGGTGAAGAAAGCTACTCATCATCGACTGCAGACTGAGGGCAGCCGCTGCTGGTGGAGCTGGCCACTGCTCCTACCACCCCACACCCCTCCCCTGCTGCCATGGCAGCGGAACGCGAGCGCACAGGGCCCACAGTGTCCTGAGGATGGACGTTGGCGCACAAAGGCAGAGACCAACTGACTACATAGGTGGTTTTTATAGTACGTTATTTTGGCCTCCCTCTCAGCAGGTGTGAAAAAGGCCACCATTTTTGAAAAGGTAGCAAGGGTCCAACAAGGTGGACAGCCAAAAGTCATCCCTCTGTCTGATGGTTTATTATTCGGCTGTCGCTACGCAAGCAAGCGAGCATGCTATGGGCCATTTGTGCCAAGGAATGCGAGGGAACTCCCTGCCTCCATCTCCACAGCATACTGCCACGTGCGTCTGGGTCCTCTGTCTCCTCCTCCTCCTCCTCTACCAGATGCTCCTGCTCCTCCACTCCTGTCCGCTGAGTGGAAAAACCACCCATTTCACTCAATAAATTCCTGAGCACCAATGTCCTCCTCTACCTCCTCCTCTTCTTCCTGTCCTGCCCCCACAGGGGTCATGTGGCGTTGAGATCTGTGCGCCACGTCTACCGCACCCTGACCAGCCATTGTTAACAGCATTTGTTCCAGGACGTGCAACAGAGGAATGACGTCGTTCATCCCCATAGTCCTGCCGACTCACGAATAGCGTGGCCTCCTCAAAGGGCCTGAGCAAGCGGCAGGTGTCACGCATGAGCTGCCAATGGCTGACATCGAAGTTACACAGGGAGTACCTTTATCCGCTTGTAACATCAGGAAATCGGTGATGGCCTTTCGCTGTTCGTAAAGGCGGTCTATAACATATGTAGGGTTGAATTCCACCTTGTTGCAACGTCGCAGATCAGGCGATGCTGTGCAATTCTGTTCTGCCGCTGCAGCTCAAGGAGGGGTGTTCTTTGCGATGTAGGAATGGCTAAAATGCATGGAAAGTTTACGTGACATTTTAAGGATTTCTTGCAGTGGGATGGTGGATTTTAGGAAAACCGCTTGACAACCAGATTGAACACGTGAGCCATGCATGGGCGCGTGGCACAACCTTCCTTGAAATGCAGAGCAGACACCATGTTCTTTCCGTTGTCGGTCAACATGGTTCCGATTTTTGAGTTTGCGCGGAGACAGCCATCTGTCGATTTCTCTGTTCATTACACTGAAAGTTCCTCCCCTGTGTGACTACGTTTCGCCAAGGCATACCAGGTGCAGCACAGCGTGACACCGTTGCGCCCTGCACATGTGATATGCCGGTCGGGTAATGGGACTTGGCACGGGGGGTGGCGGCTGAGGACACGGCGGAAGAAGAGGTGGTAGAGGCGGACATCTTTGCTGGACCAAGGACGTGCAAAACGTGGAGGCAAAAGCGGCGTGACCTGTCCAAGTTGCTGGTGCGGCTGTGACGGCACCACGTTCACCCAGTGGGCCGTAAATGACATGTACTGTCCCTGACCGTTTTACAGCTCCACACGTCGGCGCTGCCGTGCACTTGGCAGAGACTGACATGCTCAAAGACTGGCCCACCATCTCTTCTACATGTGAATGCAGGGCTGGCACTGCCTTTTTGGCGAAGAAATGACGGCTTGGCACTCTCCACCGCGGCGCGCGGCACAAGCCATCATTTCTCGGAAAGGTGCTGAGTCCACCACTTGGAAAGGGAGGGACTGCAGCACCAGCAACTTGGAGGACGTTCAGCTTTGCACCGTCGGTGCGTGCTCGCAAACTGTTGTCTCTGGAAACGGAGCTTCCAAGAAAGACTGCTGACGGAATCCGTGAAGAGGAGTAGCAGGAGGAGAAGGAGCATCTGAACGAGCGGAAGATGCCAACGAGGCGACAACTCCCCTCAGCAGAGGGGTTGGAGTGCCTTGACTGGCCCCCCACCCCTGATGGAGGGCGATTGACGTCGGGTGACGGAGCAAGTAACGGAGCGGCGTGATGGAGCGGGGGCTGGGGCGGGCAGAACCGCCGTATCTTTATCACGGTTTTCCCAGGCCACCAAATGGTGACGCGCTGCATATGCTGCCGCAACGCTGTAGTCCCAACATGGGCCCCCTGGCCACGCTTGACTTTCTGGCCACATAGTCGACATACGGCTACGTTTACTTCCTCGGGCGGCTTGACGAAAAATTCCAATTGCCACACCGCCGAGTAGGAAACTTTGCCCCCGATACTCCTCACTGGCTGACTGCTGCTTCCTCCGTGCACACCGGCACCACTACTGGCCGTGTGGTAGGCTGCAGTGGAGCTGGTGCTCTACTCCGTGGCCGTTTGGCTCCACTGACACTGCTGCGACCCTGCTGCCTCCTGGGCAACCCACCGACTGTTTCGCTCGCTGCCAAGCTGCCACCCTCTTCTCCTGATGATGCGGAAGAAATTGCCTGATGACGACGAGGCTGCCAAGTGCGATCAACCTCCTCATCATCAAGTAGGGTCTCCGCGTCACTACTAGCCCCCTCGGCTGCGTCTGGGTCAGGAGACAGACCTGTCTCTAGACCGGCTACCGAGCCACTCTCCTCGCCAGTACTTGTTCGCCTGGCTGCTGAAAAGGCGGATGTCTCCCCCGTTCCTGACCGCCCTCTGTTAGCTCTTCCTCACTGTACAGTGGGGCTGAGCCCATAGCATGCGATACTTCGCTTGGTGAGGGAACACCAAAGGACAGGGGCAGGTAGAGGACACGTGATTTCAGTGGGCTTGGTCCCGGGCCATGCCAACTAACGGTTGTGTCTGACTACCCACCGACCGTTGGCTGTAGGTGTCAGAGGTGACCTGGGAAGAGGAAGACGACCGAGCCAACCAATCGATCGACCGACGGCAGGGTTGTCGGTGGAGACACGACCGCTGGATGACACCGGGAGCACTGGCCTCTGGCTGCGAATACTGCTGCCTCGACCCCTTCTTCTGCTGCCCACGTCTGCTCGCTCCTGAAACATTGCCTCCTCTCTGCCACTCCTCTGCAATGTTGTCTGACATACTCTTTTAATTCAACGATTCTGTGTCCCTGAGTAACAATTCTGTGTCCCTGAGTAACAATTCTGTGTCTGTCCCTGAGTAACAATTCTGTGTGGCCCTAAGTAAAACGGTTCTGTGGCCCTCAGTAACAATTCTGTGTCCCTCAGTAACAATTCTGTGTCTGTTCCCTGAGTAACAATTCTGTGGCCCTAAGAACGGTTCTGTGGCCCTCAGTAACAATTCTGTGTCCCTGATTAACGTTTTAAGTGGCCCTAAGTAAACGGTTCTGTGGCCCTCAGTAACAATTCTGTGTCCCTGAGTAACAATTCTGTGTCTGTCCGAGTAACAATTCTGTGGCCCTAAGTAACAGTTCTGTGGCCCTCAGTAACAATTCTGTGTCCCTGAGTAACAATTCTGTGGCCCTAAGTAACGGTTCTGTGGCCCTCAGTAACAATTCTGTGTCCCTGAGTAACAATTCTGTGGCCCTAAATAACGGTTCTGTGCCCTCAGTAACAATTCTGTGTCCCTGAGTAACAATTCTGTGTCTGTCCGAGTAACAATTCTGTGGCCCTCATAACAAAACTGTGGCCCTCAGTAACAATTCTGTGTCCCTGAGTAACAACTCTGTGGCCCTAAGTAACGGTTCTGTGGCCCTCAGTAACAATTCTGTGTCCCTCAGTAACAATTCTGTGTCTGTCCCTGAGTAACAATTCTGTGGCCCTAAGTAACGGTTCTGTGGCACTCAGTAACAATTCTGTGTCCCTCAGTAACAATTCTGTGTCCCTCAGTAACAATTCTGTGTCTGTCCCTGATTAAACGTTTACGTGGCCCTAAGTAACGGTTCTGTGGCCCTCAGTAACAATTCTGAGTCCCTGATTAACGTTTCTGTGGCCCTAAGTAACGGTTCTGTGGCCCTCAGTAACAATTCTGTGTCCCTCAAGAAACAATTCTGTGTCTGTCCGTGAGTAACAATTCTGTGGCCCTAAGTAAACAGGTTCTGTGGCCCTCAGTAACAATTCTGTGTCCCTGATTAAAGTTTATGTGGCCCTAAGTAACGGTTCTGTGGCCCTCACTAACAATTCTGTGTCCCTGAGTAACAATTCTGTGTCTGTCCGAGTAACAATTCTGTGGCCCTAAGTAACAGTTCTGTGGCCCTCAGTAACAATTCTGTGTCCCTGAGTAACAATTCTGTGGCCCTAAGTAATGGTTCTGTGGCCCTCAGTAACAATTCTGTGTCCCTCAGTAACAATTCTGTGTCTGTCCCTGATTAACGTTTACGTGGCCCTAAGTAACGGTTCTGTGGCCCTCAGTAACAATTCTGTGTCCCTGATTAACGTTTCTGTGGCCCTAAGTAACGGTTCTGTGGCCCTCAGTAAAAATTCTGTGTCCCTCAAGAAACAATTCTGTGTCTGTCCCTGAGTAACAATTCTGTGCCCTAAGTAACGGTTCTGTGGCCCTCAGTAACAATTCTGTGTCCCTGATTAACTTTTATGTGGCCCTAAGTAACGGTTCTGTGGG